GTGAAAACAACCGACCAACGTACTACCATGGTATAAACGCAACACACTACTCAAAAGGTCGCTTATAACTCCTCAACAGCCAGTGATTGCGTTATATCGTTATCACGGGGGGTTTCCAGTGATTCTCTATGCATTGACGTAGGTCTCACCTGTGAGACTGTCAGACAGAATCGATCTAAACAGTACTATCACGGCTAGGGTTCGGATTTAGTCATCCGCTTCGTCCGAATCGAATAGATGACATTCGGACTACTTTCCAAGGATTTTGTTTACCTCGGTGATTAAACTGACGAGTTTTACAGGAATTTCTGGATGTATACACGCAGAAAAGAGTTCAACAGGTTCATGAAAGTTGACTTTGTCAGGCCTTCTGCACTTCCGTCTCAATGTGTGCCTCAGTTAGGAAGTGACTCGACCATTTCTCCGCATGCGCCATCACACAACTTTTTCAACCCGGCTCAACGGGACTTTCGACACACACAGAACGACACTTGAAGGAACAACGTCGTGTTTGTTTCAACCAAAAGCGATAGTTTCTCTTGCGAAAAGACGTCGAACAGGCCTGTTCTCCAGGTACGTGTCCAAAATGTCTTGTTGTCATTGGTGCAGAACGTGTAAGAGGCCAAGGTGTAACTGTTGTTGCAACGTAACCATCGCTTACAGAATTGGCGACGATGAGCACCTCTCAACTGTTGGAAAGGGGCAACCAGACGCACTCTGTACAACGCACGTAGTTTATGATAAAGACCAAACCCCGTATGGATGTTTTGGTTGTTGACTCAGTCAAACAGTCGCGCCTCTCATGCACATTGACTGATTATCGATCTGATCTGATGGTGCAGGCACTATCAGCCAGCACGTGGTTTCAAATCATCAACCTGAATATGTTGGGAAATAAGTCACGTGACTAGCCATCTTACATCCACCTGACGTTGCAAGAAGTTCACGCTGGAGTCTTTGAGTTAGTCTGAGTTGATAATGACTCCAAGTTTTTTTAGCTTCAGTCACATTTTATCCTGAAGTTGTATTGATTCATCTCATATTTTCACATAACACGTAGGCCTAGCGGAGATTAAGCGGGAAAAATCGGTGATATTAGTCAGTATCCAAGACTCTGAGGTGTACATTTTCCATAAGGAGCAGGAGGTCTTTCGCTAAGACTACACAGTGGTCTATTTCATTAGTTACAGGCTTCTGTCTCGCTTTTTAAGGGTACTGAGATGACTAGATTACAGCTCCTACATTGGACCAACTGATAGCCGTCTGTACAAAAGCCTACGCTCTAAAATGATAATTGGGAAGCATTGCTCAAAGTGTAATTTATCTATGCGCCCATACAGTAGTGTCCCCCAAAGAAGAAGCCACGTCTTCGAGCAATACACTCATTTGCAAATCAATTTGGTTTTATGATATTCTACAACTGAAAGTGCTGCACACAGGCCGCCTCGTGTTTCAGTTGGTTCAAGTAGATCATAAGGTTGACGGAAACTCGGGGGCTGCGCCTACCTGGTGAGCCCCAAGAAGGGCGAAACCGGTCGTGGGCTGTCGAAGAGTTTTCAGCAGCCTTGTGAGTGGTTTTCTTTATGAAAAAGAAGCCATGTCCTTTGAGATTGTTTGTTTCATCACTTTTATGTTGGGTAGGAGTCCGAGAAGTAGTATATGAGAAGTAGCATATTAGCGGGCATTCAAACAGCTGAATATTACTTCTGAGGACTAACTGTAGCTTGAATGAAACTACTTATAAGGTTGCTGAATCTGTTCCATAGTTCACGGCCGGTCTGGGGCTTCTAGGGGGGCTTATCAGGTTGGTACAGTCCTGGAGTTTGTCCGAGGTCAGTTCTGGTTGATCCCGAATCGCGCGAGAGATTTGCCAACTGTACTTATTTGCACAGGAAGTTGGTACAAGTAGAACATAAGGTTGACGGAAACCCGAAGACCTGCCTGCCTGATGAGCCGCAAGAGGGGCGGAACTGGTCGTAGGTCACCATAATCTTGCTAGTAGTTTTTTAAATGAATATTCACGCTTGAATATCTCCCAAATGTAACAGGTCAGCTTGCATGCAGCACCTTGAAGAATGTCATAAACAAAAGATTCGTCTGTGAAAGCGAAACTGATGTGCGAATGAGTGCATTTCGCGAATGATCAGACCTTGTCTATGATCAACCTTTCAAGATTTAGCCCAGAAAGTTTGGTTCCGTTCACTAGGGAACACAGATATTGTGTGTAATATTGCGTGTAATGTTACTTAGAACTACTTCAGTAGCTTGAATATCCGCCTAACTAAATCGAGAGGCACCCTTCGAACTGTTGCACTCTGTTAAGAGGCATCTCAAATCAGAGTTTCGTTTAAATCTCTCGTTCCGACCGATTAATGGAAAATTGAGTAATTCTACTTGCCGTTATATATGATGTAAAGTTAAGCACTGTGATTAAATAGATAAAACCGGAAGGTGGACATCCCGCCGCCTTCATCTTCCTGAAACCCACTAACACAGAAAATCACGTGACCAGAGTTGTGTTCTTCCGCTTCTCTATGCGATCTCCCCTCGTTTATAAATCACTCTGTCATCTAACGTTATTCTTTTTGGCTGGGTAAAATATAGCACAAATGTAGTGCTTCCTTGATTCGCTATTTGGTCGCGTCTACGGTGAGAATTCAGTCTTTTCCAACGGGATTTGGTATACAGGTTTGATATTGTCTCGACAACAACCCTGCATCCGTTACTTTAACAAGCTATGCTTTCCCAGTTATATTTGACATGAGAGTATTCATGATTCATCTATGCAACAACGTAATAACTCACCTTCTCCCGCTCTCTCTCGCCCCCTCCACGTAACTTTTATTAGTTTGGATTGGAAATCAAGGAGGAACTTTCTGTTTGCCGTGGTCGGAACTCGGGCCTTCTTGGTATGCAGAGCAGGAAGTAGAACCGACTGAACACTGTTCACTTTCACCATGAACTGATCAATTTTCCATGCTGCCAAATGTTCCCTATCCGTCGGACACATTTCAAACCCTCCCACAGTTTAAACTTATTGACCAATTGATATTTCTGTTGCAACGCTGGACTTAATTCTCATTACGGTGATACAGATGATTCACCCCGCGAAGGATGAGACATGCTGCCGGGAAAACCACACTGCAGATGGTTTGCCTTCGGGGGACTGTCGAGTCCAGGCGACAGGGGCTAGAAAACACATGATACGTTCGTGCAGCGGAACGAAAACCCATTAAACTAATTGTGTGGCTGAAAAGGTTTACATTCTAATGAGCTTCCTGTTACCGCAACTGAGTCTGAAAAGAAACGCTCCTGGGTGGACAATAGATTGATTGAATTTGTGTCTGCTGAGTGATTGAGAGCGTAACTAGGGATGACGTATCCAACGAATGCGTCCGCCTACTCGGGTTCACCCGTGCTTTATCCGACTTGGTTTGATTTGAACTCAACTCAGATAAACAAAACGTATCCGAAGGAACATTGCTTCGAATTTTTAAGAACGTCCGGCAAATTTAGCCTTATAGTTGTTCGGTAATTTCAGTATCGGGGTGGGATGGCCCAACTAGTTAGAGCTCGAGTTTACGGACCGGAAGGTCCGTGGTCCGAACCCGACCTCTGCCTCTCGACTTCCCCTGCCTAGGCTTGGGCAGCCTGACAGTATCCCAGCCCTCGTGCAACCTCCGGGTAGCCTGGCGGGTAGCAACTGTAAGGGTGCTACAGCTGGACGAAGTTCAATATCATTGTCAGAATATTATTGTCACTGGAAGACGCTTGAATACTTCATAATGAGTGGACAATTTTCAAATCTGCGCAGATCACCGCAGTCCACAAGATGAGTTAAGCTTCCAACTGAGAAGTCATCACTTGAGGAGCAAGTCGATACATGTGGCCACGTGATGTGGGTTCCTGTGATCGAAGGATGAGTGACACTGCGCTGTCCAAGTGAAAGCTAATCACACTACTGGCCAGCCGTTCGTGGCCGAACGTTTAGGTTTCAACCACAACCGGCAGGTTGCGGGCTCGAAACACCCTACTGAAGTTCCGTGAGATGCGCAATGAAGCTGCACAATAATTTGGTTGTTGGTTTTTCAACGTGGATTGGTTTCAGTGACAAGTTGAAATTTCGCTTGGAAAAGCACTCATGACGCCACCTCTGCAATTGGATTGCCAAGCTCCGCGAACATATCAAAACAGCTGAAAAATTTGATGTGATATCTTAAATGAGAAATTCAGTTGAGTCTCGCGTGAAAACCAAATTGATTTGCGAATGAGTGTATCTGTCGAAATCAGTCCAATTTGGGCTCAAGTAGAACATAAGGTTGAAGGAAACTCAGGGACTGATGATTTAGCCCCAAGAAGCGGTCGTTGGTTGTCGAAGAGTTTTCAGCAACCTCTGCGTAGTTTCCTGTGTGAAAAGATCAACAGCCGCTTGGCTAAAAACCAACCAAACAAATACACACGCAATCTATCGTGTGACTGGTCTAGAACGCCGTCTAGGCACTCCGTTTATGCTCATCACCTCGGAGTTTCCAGTTCTCATTGATGAGCATCTTTGACGCGATTTGATGACATTCAATGAAACATTCTAAATGACTCCACTGGGTCCACCTAGTGTTTTTTATCGATCGTACGGGTGAGGGGTCTTCTTAGTCTACTTCTAAGAATTAATTCAGAAAGATCTTGAACTATGTGACTCACATCTTGCTAGGCAGTAGTAAACGGTGAGGTTAAACTTTCCTTCAGATTGGGACGGAACAGTTGACTGCTGTTGACACATATTCTTGACTGCAAGAAGTAGGGTCACAGTCTAACCATTCTAAAAGAGATGCAGGTGTAGACGGTGGCCCTGAAGGCCGAACGGCTTCTGGATGTATGAGTTGAGTCAGTCTGGAGGGGGGACATCTTAACGCTTAGGTTTTGTCACACGATCACAAAATTGGTTCTTTCATACAGCTGTTTCGTAATGCTGTTATATCTGCTGATTCGCCAATCTGTTTTGTTTGACTGCTGACCCGCTCCAGTGCCTAGTGTCGGAGAAAAAAGACTTACAGAAGGGAACACAACCGCTACATTCCGAACAAGCGAGTGCGAAAAATACAACTATCTCAAGCTATTTATTGGAAGGAAACTGTCTGAACTTAGTCCAATGCTGACACACATGGTCTGGCTTTGGTACGAGGCTGTGACATGCTGTGTGGCGTTGTGTAACCTTGGTCAACACTGACTCGCGCTGTCTGGGTTTGATGCAAGGCTGTGAAGCGCAGCATATTAAGGGGGCGTTGTCTGTCTGGTCAACATCTAGCGGAGCTGAGAGTCTCGGTAGATTTCGGGCATTCAGTGATTGCTTTCAGGAATCTGACGGGTTACTCACCTGGAACCCAGCTGAATCTCTCGTTTATAAAGGCCCAGTTCCGTTGAATCGGATAGAACATAAGGTTGACGGGAACTCGGAAAGTGTGCCTAGCTGATGAGTACAAAGAAGGGTGAAACCAGTCGTGGGTTGTTGAAAACTTTTTAGCGAAACCATGAGTAGTGTATTACGCCTAAACTAGCGGTGATTTGGTCTAGGTATCGTCACAAAGTCATTACATAGTCAGTGATGAAACTTATCACGTTGTTCTAGTTTTTATCACCTATGCGTTTTCGAAACGTCGCCGTTATTTCAACAGCTTGATATGCATTTATCTGATGACAATGTTCCAAAAACGTTTCTGTTCATCTTTTTCTGTTCTTGGGGGATGGTGTTAGTGTTCTGCCTGCGTGCGTCCAACTGACGATCAATACTTTGATCAGGTGACACGCACCGCGTGAATAAATAATGGACGGCACCAAATGGTGTCTTAATCAGAGCATCGAAGACCGCATTTATTTGACTGATAGAACGTTTGTCTAACCTCCAGAAGCTTGTGGCTCCAAGTCCCGAATTGAGGTTTGTAGAAAAAATACTCATATTGGCACCCTTCCTGCACGAATCTGGAAGTGCACAACTAAAAATTCGTGATTTCTTTTACTACCTAGAGGGGCAATAATCACACATATTTGTGGTTGGAAATTCGAATTTGAACCCCATGATTTTCGATTTCAACTTTTCGGCTCATTCCTGCCGAAAGGTGGTGGTTAAATTGAAGAACAGATTAACGAAATTCATGGAGCATACAATCAACGGGTTTAAATTATCCCCTCTGCTGTCGAAAATGTTGTTTTTCGCGTGACGCACTTCAATCAATGGCATTTCTTCCCACATCAGATAGCTAGGACACGCCTAATGAGATGTTTCAGTCAGTCTGTGAAACGAACTCGTGAGAGGTGGGTTGGAGCGGAAGCTTTTAAATGCATCCTGCGACAGAAATTCACTTCGTCTCACCTGTTCGATAAGAATCTGTTTTGAGGGAACAATTCAAAAGCTGTAGCCCGTGAATAAATTTCTTCACCCACATGCGGTGAGTCATGCTCAGATTTGGGAAAGGAAAATAGACACTCGTGAATCAGAGAAGTTTTTCCAACTCTGTAAAAGCTTTTCCTGGCTGCAACAAATGACAGTCGATTTGAGATACGCATCATCCGCGGTAGGAAGCACTGAGGGTGCACGAATAGAACAACTCAAATTCTTGGTCATGTGCCATTATGGATTTAGCTAGAATTGAGTCAGCTGAANTATAAATATTTACAACCCAAAGCAAATACGAAGACCGTGAGTATCCTTCATCTACTGCCATATTGAACATTGTTGCCGCTGTTTGTAAAGATGGCCGTTTGCCTGTTCGCTGGCTTGACCAATCCGACTGCGGGCGTCTAACCAATATGGAGCTGAAGTCACCGGTGAGCTGCCGCTGGAAGGTGCGCTCATGTATCCTGCGTGCACGTAACTACAGTCCGCTCGTTCATACTGACCTCGACCTACTATTGGTTGATCGGATTTGCCTTTCTATTGGTTGGTTGGCTAGTCAGGTGACCTTTGGACGCGTTCGCTTTAGTTATGGGGTCAGATTTGACCCAATTGATCATCAGATTTGTCGCGGGGCTCTCTTGTCTGTCTCATGCTCTTGCGCACAATATTTTGAGGTTCTTCAAGTTGAGTACATGTGTCTGATTTTTGATAGCCAGTCATGTCCGCTGAAGGTCGTAGCATTTGTATCCATTGTGTCAAGAGGTTTCTTCCAGCTTTTAATGCACATTGAACTGCTATCGAAGTTGACTTGGCCTATAAGTGTGTTTTTTGTATTTCGGTCCTGTGATGAAGTTTCCGGAAAATGTGAGTTCCTTTTGGTTCTAATATCCCCCCTGTAAACTCCGTTTTGTCAGTGTACTAGGATATCGAACCTGGTTCAACATAGTGTGAGAACAGAAACCTGGAGTCTGGGTAGGAACTGGCATATAAATGGTGGGTTGCAAATGATTGTACAGCTGGACTGGTGAACCAGTTGACCTTCAACTCTGAAATCTGTGCTAAAAAACGGATCCAAGACAATAGTTCATTTTGAACTGACTTTGAACTGAACATTTGTTGGTAGGTGCAAACTTCAGTAATTTCGTATAAGGCGGTGGGTTTATAAAGTCACTGAGTGACAAAATATGAAGACGTTTGGTAGAGGCCTTCCTGTGTAACGGCGGATGCTACTGATGAGGCACGTGAGTAGTATGTTTTCTCCGCTTAACTCCACTTTGCGTCTAACGGAAGGTGGGGTTTATTACGGAATTTGTGGAACTGCTTGGCAGCATTGGTTCACAATCGCGTGATGGTCAATAAATATCCAGGAAAGTTGAATAAGACGCGTTCAAAAGGAGATGGATATTCAGTTTTTGAAAACAAGGTGCATGTGAGCGGTGCGAACCAGAGATTCAGCTGGGTTCCAGGTGAGTCTCTCGAAAAACCAAATTAGTTTGCAGATGAGTTTATTTCGCTAATGAGAGGTTTACCTTCTTGTCCACGGTGAAGGGCTTTCTTCCTTTCACCTGTAGTTGATGGGAATTGAGTGGCGGCGAGTTGTACGTGATAAATCGGTAACAAGGCCAACTAAATCGATATTCCGATGATTTGATTGACAAATTTGGTTTGA